CTCGGAACGTTCCTGTACTCTCAGGTATGCCTGCTGCAGCTTCGTGATTTGATGGACTCGTGGCTACGTGGATGGAATTCTGAAGGTTTTGTTCCCATTGTGTTTTCAGGCGATTGAGGCTCAGAAGAAGGCAGCTAAGGCTAAGGCTGCACCTGCTACTTAGTTTTGCCGTTTATGACCTTTGGGATGTGCAACGACTTCGCCCGTTGATGTACATTCCAGCAGGATGATTTTGTTTGCGCCTTGTTTCCAATTTACCCAATACGTAGTACATTAGTATGTGTAGAGGTGTTCTTACATGAATGATTACTGTAGGTGTTCGTCCCTCTCTGGGTTGTTGGTATTCAACCGTACCAAATGAAGTCTTCACAAGGTATTGAAGTGTCAGCTAGCAGGCACTTGCTCCAAGGAGCAGGCACAATGATAATTCATCCAGTACCACTCCAAATTTGTGTGCACAAAGCAACGACTTCCAAGCAACCCAGTTAACACTATCTGAACTACCAGTACCTCTACATTCAGAATAATCTTTACATACCACCTGAATGTCCACAGTGTCAGCAGGGGACATTCTGATGTATGACTCCAGCCTGTTTGACTCACCATCTGCAAAGAAACAATTACGCTAGTCAGCTGGCATTTTTGCTTGAAAGGGGAAATACTCAGTGAGACTGAACTATACTGCTGACCTTGCGAACGAATGCATGGGTACTTCGGAGGGCTGGCTAGCCACATGTTTGTGATAGTGTCACGCATGTGAGACCGATCAGACGCGAAGAAACTGAAATAGTTGGAAGCAGAAACCACCCTGTAAAACCTGCACACATCTCCAGTCAAGGTGAAAACAAAGACAAGATCAGGTACCCAAGGCTGAGCATTGAGGCAACAGGTGTGAGTAGTAGGAACGAGGATGGCACAAGTCAAGCACACAGCTAACCTTTGATAAGTATCTTGTAGAGGAAGGAGGGAACTTCTCCCGGCCCACAGCGCCCGCCGCACATACTCCGTTGCTAAACTTGGAAAGGCCAATACTGTGTCAAGGTCCCACACATACCACTTGCGACACCTACTCCCTTCAGATCCCCCTCTGTCACCACCTCTTGCTCCATTGATGTGCTTCACATGGATAGCGATGACATGGTAGTCCCAAACCACCAGACCCTGCTCCTCCACACCACCCCCCCCTTCGCTCCCACTATTATCATCAGCACGACACATGCCGGCCTTCTGACACCACATGGGAACCTGCAGGCGGATGGCGCAGGAGAGGTGCGACGAGGAGAGCGGGTGACGAGCGAATTCGGAAGTGATATACCAAATGAAAGCGAACAGAGTGAAGGGACATACGAAAGAGCAATGAAGTGGATGAAGTGGATGAAGTATTATGATCCCAAGTGAACCGTGTACCTTGCGGTCAGGATTGGAAATGAACACGACGGCCAAATCATCCACGTGAGCGACGCCTCGTGAAACCAGCGAACGACAAAGCAAATATACGTTTTCCTCACTGCAACGAATGGCAGGCCAGATAAGGGTAGGATGGTTGGCACATTAGAGGAATCCATGTGGATAACCACACACGCAGAAGTTTGAACGGCAGCTTCCGCTTCTCGCACCAGTAACAAGAAGTGTATGTGAAGTCAGATCGACGAGGCATGGACATGACTTCTCTTTCTACCGAACACGGCGACTCCTGCTCCTCTTGCTGAACAACAGACTCCATGAACCACAGACCATCCACTTTTCTTGGAACGGTGGAGAATAGAGGCGGACGATTCTAAAATTGGGCAACTCGCGGCAGTCTGAACAGCAGACGAAAAACCTATGAAACCTGAATGACAGTGGCTGTTAGTTGCCTTAAAGCGACGGGCAACTTTTGGCAGTGTTGGGTTCAGAAGTTTTTTTTTTGAACCAGGCTTGCCAGCGCGAAAGTGCTGGCTGGCGAAAACCAGGATTTCGTGCGGACACTTTCCATCCGCAGTAACAGTTCGCCAGGGTTCTGGGTTTTGGGTGGCAAATGTGCACCGTCGCTTTAAGCAAGGCGTGGATGTGGTGTGGTGTGCATTTTAGGGCGGTTCTGTATGGTGGAGGTTTACATTTCTAAAAAAATGGGTGCTCCCACAAATTCTGTTCTGCCTGTAGTCTAGGAAGGCCGAGCCTGCAATTTCGATTGGACGAGGCGATGTCCCACGCGTATAGTCACAGCCTGTGCCAGCATGAGCGAGGCGTGAGCTGGCGACACTGGTGCGCACTTTTGCGATGACGCATCGCCCATGCGAACTTGCTGTTTCTGATGGCCCTTGCGTCACCTTGAGCCTTGTGATGCACATACAAGCACACTCGGGCCCAACAAGTTGAATGGTTTGAGATGGTTGACAAGGCTTCGGGGTATTCCCCAAGTGGTACTTCTCGGTACACAATCTCCAGTGCAAACATTCCAGGTTTGCGACACTCCAGGTTTCAAACATCCCTGGTCGCGAACCAGCCCAGCCCAGGAAACCCGTTCCTGAAAAAACGAGGAATATGGTGTAGAGCCACAAAAGCAGCGAGCTAGAGGTTCACAGTATGCGGACGATAGGCTCATCTGCATAGTCAGGAATGCATTCCAGATTTACGGAGCAGCAGAGGCTAACAGAGCAGCTCTGGCAAAGAGTGTCAAGAGGGAGCATCAGGTGGTGGTTGCACTCGCGAGGCTCCTCTTGATCTCACCTACGCTACTCGTTCCCCAGTTCTCCCGTCATTTTCATTCAGACGCTTTCCCTGCTCATTTATACAGAGCGACAGTCAGGAGCGACAATAATCATGAGCGACAACCTTTCAGATTTTAGAAGGCCGCTAATCCTAGTAACTCACACGTAGCATGCACCACAGGTGATGCGGTGATGTGACACTTACTTCCACATTAACATTCCCAGTGCATGAATAGCGCTTTCGGGCTCTGAAATGATTTTACCACACACGCCAATGACAGAGTTCTGCATTGATATACCAGGCTAGGCCACATTAATGCCATCTAATCAACAAAGAGATAACGGGGGAGTCGGACGAGCTTACTGCCAGTTCATTGTTTCCACCCACTCCAGAGTAGTCCCTGTCAGACAAGACTGGCGTTGAAGAATTAGTGAAGACTGCATGTGGATCTATGTAGGGAATTTCGGTGGTATGGCAACATCCCATCAACCTGCCGCCCCTTGTTTCATGTAAGGTGAAACGCATGTCACATTTTGGACAACATGATCAGAGAGCTAACATGAGTGTGTACTAGGCACCTGACAACCCTTTCAAGAACACGGGTGACACAAGCATGTTGTTAAGTTATTAATCATGTGGTCAGGGAAAGAGGGGGAGGGGAGGAATGATGCCTGAAATTCGGTTGCTGCTAGCCATTCAATTCAACCAGCCTCAGCCGCTGAAATCAAACAGAGAACTTCCACTCCTTCTCCAGCAACAAGGCTGGGCGCCTGCCACCATGCTTGCAGTGGAAGACGGCAGTGACCTGCAAGCATGAAGGGGACAAACCCATAAATGATAATAAGAAAAAGGCTAACATCAGCATACAATGGCGAGCTTGTATGGCCGCTTACCTTGAAAGGACCACCTTCACCAGTGTGCTTATGGTACTCGACTTCAGCCCGCTCCCTGTGGTGCCAGTATGACACCTCCAGGTGATCCCTTTTAATCTTCTGCTTGATTTGAAATCCCAAGGCCCATTTCCCCTCGCCGAAGTCGTACAGTGACTTAAAGATGGTGTCCTTGTACCTGTGCTCCAATCGCACCAAAGGACCATTCTTGGCAAAATTGTGTTTCACAACCGCCTTAGTGTCATCGGTCAGTGCGGTGTTGGCCTCCAGCGTCGTCACACCAGGGCCGTGGTGGTGGACGAAGGTAAGATGCACGAACTTATCGGCCACTTTCGTGTGCCCGTGGAATTGGAACCTTGTGAACTGCAGAGCGAGGAGTAGGGAAAGAAGGATTTTAGCTCATACCATGACATCAAAAGCTGAAAGGACATTCTTTTATGGGCTGCATGTGTTCAAGCCTACCTTCTTGTGGAAGTGATGCTCCAGAATGAAATGACCAGGCTTTTCCACGGCGACTTCTGTATCCTCATTGATACTTCCAACATCCCTCAATGTCTTGTCCGTCAATGAAAGCTTCAGCTTCAAATCTTCCAGCCAAACGCCTACAGTGGCCTGAAACTTTTCAGTCTCAGAATTGTACTTCGACTTGAGAGTGAGCTTCGTCATGGCGGAAACCAAGGAACACCACTACTTGGCAGCTGGATGAATGGACAGGAATGTGGAAGTTCAACAGGAATGAAATTGCTTCAGAATGGGCGTTTCTGAGGGAAATTTGGCACTTTGATGTTGTGGAGTGGCACACCATATTGTGCTTGGAGGGGAAAGTCCTTGCCAGACCTGCCCGTCGTAAGTTTTTTATCGAGGAGTTCCTTCTGAAAATACACAGCAGTAAAGTCAAAACTTTGTAAAGTGACTTGTAAATCTGTTGGCGCCCCAATTTCACAATTTCGGGGTCAGATCTAAACATAGCAAATGCTAACTCGACGGATACGCATGACGTGGATACTGGAGTGTCAGCATGATGGGCATGACCTGGAAACTGGTTTCATTCCACGTGGAAGCATTGTTTTCCTTCAAAGAGCCTCGTCAGAGCTGACGTGCTGATGAGGCCACAATCCACTCCAGCCAATCTCAAGGCCCAACAGTAATATTTGGGATTCTCTCCGCTGCACCTCACTACTCTTCGCAAACAGACTCGGTATTGTAGTACAAGTACCAGAATGTACCTTCCAGATGCTATAACGACCTTGGTTGGGCAAATTACATGAAAATGATTTTTTGAAGGGTTTAGGACCATGCAGCTTTTCACCACACCTAGGATCCAGGGTTTGTGCCTACAAAAATAGCTTTTCATTTTCGTTGTCCAACTGTTCTCCATTGTCACCGCGTTTCAAGTCAGCAAACCTCGTGTCCGCACTTATGGCGCGGAAGAAAGGCGGCAAACGCGGGGACGATAACGAGGACGAGGCATCTGCAGAAGCGCCGGCCGTAGAGCAGGAAACCAAGAAGGGCGGTAAGGCCGCCCGGAAGAACCGCAAAGGGAGGGCCGGAGACGATGACGACTATGAGCCTCCGCCTGATGACGTGGCAGCAGCTGTCGATGACGTGGATGATGAACCAGTGTCGTCAGTCAAAAGCAAGGGTAAGGGCAAGAGTGGTGCGTCGGGGTTCGCTGCGCTGATGGACGCAGAGAATGGCGGGGCGGCGGAGGATGCGGAGGAGGACGAGGAGGAGGAGGAGAAGGCGAGAGGGGGGATGGGCAAGGGGGGGAAGAAGGCAGGACAGGACGAGGACGACGAGGAGGAGGCGAGGGGAGGCGGGGGCGGAGGAGGGAAGAAGGGGGGCAAGAAGGGCAAGAAAGGCAAGAATCGTCGCGACGACTTCGACGACGATTTCGCCGACCCCGTTGCGGACGCAGCGGCGGAGGAGAACGGCAAGCCCGCCGCCGCTAAACCCGAGGAGGGTGACAGCGATGGGACAGTGGGCCCGGGGTATCTGGTGGTGGGGGAGATCAAATCGGCGCGCAAGGTGAAGAAGGCCGACAAGCTCAAGGCGTGCCTCGTCGACATCGGCGGCGCGTCGCCCATTCCGATCGTGTGCGGCGGGACCAACGTGCGCGCGGGGCTGCGCGTGATCGTCTGCCCCGCAGGGTGCGCCGTGCCGTCGACGGGCGCGGCGGTGAAGAAGGCGAGCATCAAGGGCGAGGAGAGCCTCGGGATGATCTGCTCGCGCGCCGAAATGGGATGGGCGGATGCCGCCAGCGAGGTGATCGAGCTGGACGCAAGCGCGTTCAGCGTCGGGGACAAGGCGCCGCTGGAAGATCCCAATGTAGGTGTTGGTGACGTGGCGGAGGAGGCGGAAGATGTGGCAATGGCGTTCACGGGGAAGAAGAAGGGGAAGAAGGGGAAGGGGGGTAAGGGGAAGAAGGCGGAGGAGGAGGAGGAGGAAGAGGAGTCGGTGGTGACGAACGTTGCGCGCGACGACGAGGAGGAGGCGGAGGAGGATTCGATGGCTATGGCGTTCACGGGTAAGAAGAAGAACAAGAAGAAGGACAAGAAGGGCCGGAAGCAGCAGCAGGAGGAGGAGGACGAAGAGGAAGAGGCGAAGGAAGAAGTAGCGGAGGAGGAGGAAGAGGAGGAGGTGGTGGTGTCGAGTAAGAAGGCGAGTTCCGCTCTGCAGCTGCTGGCGGCGCTGGGCGACGAGGGGGGCGAAGAGGACGAGGAGGAGAAGGAGGAGAAGGAGGAGGAGGATGAGATGGCTATGGCGTTCAGCGGCAAGAAGAAGGCGAAGAAGGGCAAGAAGAAAATGACCTCCGCGCAGCTCGACGCGCTCATGGCGGAGGCGGACGGCGACGCGGCGGAGGCAGGGGCGCAGGAGGCGGAGGAGCGCAAGGAGGAGGAAGGGGGGAAGGGGAAGAAGGGGGGGAAGGCGGCGGCGGGGGAGGACGACATTGACGCGCTGCTCAAGGAGCTCGAGGCGCCCAAGGCGGGCGGCGGGGGGGGCAAGAAGAAGAAGAAGGAGAAGGAGGGGAAGAAGAAGAGTGGGCGCACGGCGGAGGAGGAGGCGGAGCTTGATCGCATCCTGGCGGAGCTCGACGCGCCCGCAGCCCCGCCCGCGGGAGGACAGGCGCCCGCTGCCGATGCGAAAGCGGACAGCGCTGCTGTTGAGGCAGCGGCGGGCAAGACAGACGCCGCCGCTGCTGGTGATGCTTCTGCGGAGGGGGAGGGGGAGGAGGAGGAGGCAGGGGGAGGCGGTGGAGGGGCGGAGTCAGCTGCGGCGAAGAAGAAGAAGAAAAAGAAGGAGAAGGAGAAGGCCGCCAAGGCTGCTGCCGCTGCCGCCGCCGCTGCTGCTGCTGCAGGCGCGAAGGAGGAGGAGGCGGCGGCGGAGGGGGCGGGGAAGGCGGTGGATCTGAAGAAGCTGCCGAAGCACGTCCGCGAGATGCAGGAGCGCCTGGCGCGGCTGAAGGAGGCGGAGGAGAAGCGCAAGCGCGAGGAGGAGGAGCGGGAGCGCAAGGAGAGGGAGGAGGAGGAGCGACTGGCGGAGCTTGAGAGGCAGCGCGAGGAGGCGAAGCAGCGGCGCAAGCAGAAGGAGAAGGAGAAGAAGGAGCAGCTTAAGAAGGAGGGGAAGCTGCTGACGGGGCGGCAGAAGGAGGAGGCGAAGCGGTTGGCCGCCATGCGCGAACAGCTGCTGGCGCGCACTGGGGGCGCCGAGGGCGACGAGGGCGCGGGGACGGGCGCAGGGAAGAAGCGCGGCGGCGTGTTTGACCGGCGGAAGAAGGGGAAGCAGCAGCAGCAGAAGCAGGAGGCGGGTGGGAAGGAGGAGGGGAAGGAGGATGCGGAGGGGGGTGATGTGGAAGAGGCGAAGGAGGAGGAGGAGGTGGAGGGTGTGAGTGAGGTGGTGGAGAAAGTGGATGAAGCAGCAGAGGAGGAAGAGAAGAAAGAAGAGGAGGAGGAAGAGAAGGAGGAGGAGAAGAAGGAGGAGAAGGAGGAGGAGAAGGAGGAAGAGGAAGAGGAGGAGGAGGAGGACTGGGATGCAAAGAGCTGGGATGCGGAGGCAGTGAAGATACCCAAGCTCAAGGGCGCGTTCGATGAGGAGGAAGAGGAGGAGGAGGAGAAGGTTAGTGCTTCTGCTGCTGCTAAACCTGCTGCCAAGGCCAAACCGGCAGACGGGGCTTCCAAGAAGGCTGCTGCTGCTAAGGCGAAGGGTAAAGCGGCAGGTGGCAAGGGGAGGGTGGAGGAGGAGAGTGAGGAAGAGGAGGATAGCGAGGAGGAGGACGAGGATGATGATGAGGAGACTGACGAGGAGGAAGGGGAGGAGACGCGGAGGATGGAAGCGAGGGAGCGGCGGGAGCAGCGGAAGCAGGAGGCGATGAAGGCACGCAGTGCGGAGGACCTGCGGTCGCCCATCTGCTGCATCCTGGGGCACGTGGACACGGGCAAGACCAAGCTGCTGGACTGCATCCGCCGCACCAACGTGCAGGAGGGAGAGGCGGGCGGCATCACACAGCAGATCGGCGCCACCTACTTCCCCATGGCCAACATCCGCGAGCGCACGCGCGAGCTCAAGGCCGACGCGTCTCTCCGTGTCCCGGGGCTGCTGGTCATCGACACGCCCGGGCACGAGTCGTTCACGAACCTGCGTGCGCGCGGGTCAGGGCTGTGTGACATCGCCATCCTGGTGGTGGACCTGATGCACGGGCTGGAGCCGCAGACCATCGAGTCGCTCAACCTGCTCAAGATGAGGAAGACGCCCTTCGTCGTTGCCATGAACAAGGTGCGCGTGTGGCGGGATTGTGTTGTTCAATAGATGGGTTGGGTTGGCAGACCATTGCTTCCATGTGACGTGCTGTTCCAGGACCTTCCTGTGCCTGTGCATGCCATGCCATGCCATGGCTTTGGGCTTTAGGATGGTCTCATGCTGTACCATCCCCTCTGCATAATGCCATGCACATCTTATCCACCCCCATGTGCCAGGTGGACCGCATATACGGGTGGAACGCGACGCCCAATGCGCCCATCCGCGCGGCGCTGAAGAAGCAGACGAGAGACGCCATCCTCGAGTTCGACCGCCGCACCGACCAGGTGCGTGCCTAAGAGGGCAGGAGGGGGTGCAGGGGGCGGGGTGCAGTGGGGACAGGGGGCAGGGGGGTGGGGTTGGCGAGGAGTGCATGGGCAGAGGGATGGAGCAGAATGCTATGAGGGGTCGTTTCTCGCTCGCTGCTGACATTCGCCTCCAACCTGCCCTCTCCTCATTCATTGCTACCCCTCCTGTGTTCCCTCCTCCCCCCATCATGTCCGCTGGGCAGGTGATGTTGGAGCTGAAGGAGCAGGGGTTGAACGCGGCGCTGTACTACAAGAACCCCGACATCCGCAAGTTCATCTCCATCGTCCCCACCTCCGCCATCAGGTGCGCTCACTCTGCCACTCACGTCCATCTGCCCCCATTCCCCCTTCCCGCATGCCCCACTCCTCCATAGCCCCTCCCCCCATGCCCCATTTCCCTTCTGCCAACCGCTCACTTCCCCATTCCCCCCTGCGCTCATCCTCCCCTCGCGGCCACCCCCCATGTGCCCAATCTCTCCCTCGACTCCCCAATGTCTCTTTCACACACCCCCCCGCCCCCCTTCTCCCCTCCCCCTCTCCCTGGGCAGTGGCGAGGGCGTGCCGGACCTGCTGCTGCTGCTGGTGCAGCTGACGCAGAAGCTGATGGAGGAGCAGCTCATGTACGTGGCCAGCGTGCAGTGCACCGTGCTCGAGGTCAAGGTCATCGAGGGCCTCGGCACCACCATCGACGTGGTGCTTGTGAACGGGGTGCTGCATGAAGGGGATCAAATCGTTGTGTGCGGCCTGCAGGTGAGGGGGCGAGGGGGGGGGATGCAGGTGGGTGAGGGAGAGAGGGGCGTTGCAGGTGGGACACACAGGGGGGCTGGCAGGTGGGGGAGGAGTGTGCGGGAATGGGGGCTGAGAAAGCGTTTGGCACTGGGTTGCCTCGCCTTGTGGCTTGGGTGTCTATGGCTTGGCCTGAGAATCAGGGGGGTGACCAGAAGGCATGCAAAAGGAGAGCGATGGAGGGAAGTGCCTGTGTCTTGTCTGCGTGTTCCGATGCTCTGTTGAGGTTATTATTGCTGACCTTCCACTGTGTGCGTGCATGTGTTGTTGCGGTGCTGCAGGGGCCCATAGTGACGAGCATCAGAGCGCTGCTGACGCCACACCCCATGAAGGAGCTGCGCGTCAAGGTCAGTCCGCCATGCCACCCCGTCTGCGCCTCTCACCTCCATACCATCCCCACTTGCTCTGCTGGCTCGCACTGCCTTGCATGCCCCACACACATCCCTGCCCCACACACATCCCTGCCCCACACACATCCCTGCCCCACACACATCCCTGCCCCACACACGTCCCTGCCCCACACACATCCCTGCCCCACACACGTCCCTGCCCCACACACATCCCTGCACCACACCCAGTTCTTCCTGAACTTCACCCCGCTATCCCCATTTATTTTATCCCCGTGTCTCCTCTTCCTTGCCCTCTAACTCTCCATCCGCCTCCCCCCCCTCTCCCTCCCCCCCAGGGCTCGTACATGCATCACAAGGAGCTGCGCGCAGCACAAGGCATCAAGATCACGGCGCAGGGGCTGGAGCACGCAGTAGCAGGCACGCAGCTGTACGTGGTGGGGCCCGACGACGACGTGGACGAGCTGAGAGAGGAGGCCATGGCGGATGTGAAAGGCGTGCTGTCGCGCGTGGACAAGAGTGGCGAGGGCGTGAGCGTGCAGGCCAGCACGTTGGGGTCGCTGGAGGCGCTGCTGGAGTTCCTCAAGAGCCCTGCTGTGAAGATCCCCGTGTCGGGCATTGCCATTGGGCCGGTGCACAAGAAGGACGTGATGCGTGCGAGTGTGATGCTGGAGAGGAAGAAGAAGGAGTATGCCGTCATCCTCGCCTTCGACGTCAAGGTGCTGCCTGCGCCCACCACCCCTGCTGGTCTGATCGGCATTGCCTGTATACCCAATTCTGCTTATGCTCACGGCTGTTTCAACCGACCTTGCTCTCTTAATATTTTCTCCTTTCCCTTACCAACTCCTTCCCTCACGACGGTGTGTGTGTGGGGCCGACAGGTGTCAACGGAGGCGAGGGAGATGGCGGAGGAGCTGGGAGTGCGCATATTCACAGCGGACATCATCTACCACCTGTTTGACCAGTTCACGGCGTACATGGCGGGCGTGAAGGACGAGAAGCGTGCGGAGGCGGCGGAGGAGGCGGTGTTCCCGGTGGTGCTGAAGATCATGCCCAACTGCATCTTCAACAAGAAGGACCCCATCGTGCTTGGTGTCGAGGTGCTGGACGGCATTGCCAAGGTGAGAGAGAGAGGTGGGGGGAGGAGAGGGAGCGTGAGGGAGTGGGGAGGGCAGGTTAAATTTATTCATGATCTTTCAGATGTGTCTTGTGTGCTTGACACTCTGGGCAACACGCTGAAACGCCTCTCCCTGTTGTGCCTGTGTGTGGCAGGTGGGCACGCCCATATGTGTGCCGGGGCGTGAGTTCATAGACATAGGCAAGATCGCATCAATGGAGAAGGACCACAAGATGGTCGACACCGCCAAGAAGGGCCAGGCCGTCGCCATGAAGGTAAGGCGCTCTCATGCGCCTCGCCTCCTGCCTCGTGTCCTATCTTTTGCATGCCTTCACTGCTGGCCTGCCCTCTTTCTCTCTCCGTCGCTCCCTCAACCCCCGTGACACCTCTGCTCCTGCCACCCCTGCTGCTTTCCCCTCACATCGCTCCCCACTGCCTTCCTGCATCTGCCTGTGTGCATGGGCATGAGGGCGTCAGATCGTGGGGGTGAACGCGGAGGAGATACAGAAGTCGTACGGGCGGCACTTTGACAGCGATGACGAGCTCGTCAGCCGCATTACTCGCAACTCCATCGACCTCCTCAAAGAAAACTACCGCGTATGCTTCCCCCCCGTACCCCCTCCCTCCACTGCCCACTCTTCGTCCTTGCAACTATGTCTCTCCCACTTCACCCTTGTTTTCTCTTGTCAGACCTCCTCAATTCTTGTCATCCTGCCTCCCGTCCACCCTCCAATGCTGTCATCTGTTGTTCGAATCTCCACATCTTGCATTCGCCCTCGCACTCCCCTCATGAACCAGGACGACTTGAGTCGAGAGGATTGGATACTGGTGGTGAAGCTCAAGAAGCTCTTCGACATTCCCTAGGCACACGCCCTGGTGCGTGCAAGCTAGCTAGTGCTACGCTGGCGCGAGGTTCGGGCTAGTCCCGAAGCGTAGGCTGACTCGGCTGCTCCAGCAGTGCGAGGTTTGGTGAAACAGTACGCGCGAAGTTGGCGAAGCCCCGTTAGCAGTAATGGGCGAACAACGGTTGCAACTGTACGCGATGTTGATGGTCGCAGTAAGGAATAGCGAGAAATTTCCTTACACAATGACATGAAATACATGGAACGCACACCCTGAATCCCACTTGTTGAGCACATGAGAAATTTACATGAGAGCACCTTGAGCATGTGCGCAAATGCATGAACACCTTCAACATGAAGCACCGGCATGGGAGCACACTTGCATGAGCACACACATGGGCATGAAATTACAGTACAACGATTTGCCCGTTTGTGGTCGGACATCCCATACTGACGCAACCATGGATTATGTCACGTGAAAAACGATGTATTCACTAATCCGCGTACAGCTACGGTAGTTAGAATCGTCCCTAGGACCTAGTATATGCATAGTATGGTGTCGTTTTCCCCTAGCAGCATGTTGCACCGCGTGGTCGACAGCAGGAGGCAAACTAGGTTCCCCTTCTTCTCCATGCCGCCAAGCCTCGGCTTATTCGCTGTCGAGTCGCTGCACCCCCGCGCCCTAGGGCTTGAAAGCGGCCTGGGCGGATTCCGCCTTGGTTTGCGCAGACTTGAGCAGGCCGAGCGTGGCCTTATCGGTAGCGGGTTTGAGCATAACGGAGACACCCCTGATGGTGGAGATGGCGTTGGTGATCTGCCCCGGCACCAGCGTGCGCTGCCCCTGGTCGATCAGAATGCCCGCGTTGCGCAGCGCCTGCGCCGTGTCGGTCAAGCTCTTCTTGTAAGTCGTCACGGTCAACACGGCGTTCGCCTGGTCCACCAGCTTCGCCGCCGCCGCCAGGTCCGCCTTCACGCCCGCGTCTGCCGCGCTCACCTTCTTCGGCGGCGGCGTCACGCCGGTCGCGGGGCCCGCGGGCGTCTTGGGGGACTTTCCGGACTTGGGGGACGGCGACGCGGGGGGAGACGGGCCGACAGGCGTCTTAGGGGTCTTGGGGGTCTTGGGGGACTTGGTGGTGGTGGCGGGGGACGGGGACGGCGGGGGTGGCGGGGACGGCGTGGGCTCGGGGGAAGCAGGGGGCGACTTGGATTTCTTGGCCTTCTTGGCCGCCTTCTCCGCCTCCTTCTTCGCCTTATCCGCCTCCTTCTTCGCCTTCTTCGCCGCTTTCTCCTCGTCGCTGTCCAACACGCGGCGCGTCGATGATGCTAAGGACGACACCGAGGCGCCCGAATCAGCCAGATCGCCTGAGATAAGGGAAAATCGGGAAAACTTCAATTGAATCTGATGAATTAGCGAGGAAAGTGAGCTTCACTGCAGGGACAGTCGGCAGAGACGTGGAAAATGGTTTTAAGTTGGGAAAGGGCTTTACCTGCATAGCTAACGACGTCAGAGGAGGAGAATCCCACGAGAGAAACGTCAGCAGAGACGTTGACGAAGTGTGAAGTCACGAGGAGAGCGAGGAGCGGGAGCGCGCAAGCAAGGGCAAGAGTTCTCGAGATCGCCATTTCTAAGCTTAAAACCCGCAGGCCAAGATATTCAACCTTAGGAAGGTTGGTTGGGAGTTGCTAGACGAGTTGTTATAAACTCGGGAAAATCAAAGGCGTTTTTGGGACATCCAACCAACACTAGGAAGGATGAACCAAATTTGGCCTTCTTGACCCACGGGTTTTAAGGTAGTTGTTTCGAGTATGAGAGTAAATTGATTGAGCGAGGGGCGACTTGAATGAATGTTGGATGAACGGGGTCGATTTTATATGCTCGAGAAAATGTCCTGCCTGATCGCATTTCGGTTGTTTCTGGCTGTTGGGTGGAGGCGCCAACCAAAAAAGTTGCGCGCAATCTTCGCAGCACCCCGGCGCCGCACTTCACGGCAGCCAACTTTGGCTGGGCGAACCTGGCGAATTGACGGGCGAGCTGGGCAGGGTGCTCCGAACGTGGCCAGCGGGCGAGGGGAGGGCGAAATGGGATGTGGGGGGAATCAGCCCGTTTACATTTGTGGAAGTTTGGCACACAAAAATGTTTGGATGGTCAGCGCAGTCAACTGGGGATAGGCGCACGGCGAAAGGAAAAATTCGCGGGCGCAGTTGTGGAGCCTTGAGCGCAGCAAACAGTTTAATACACAGTATTATGTGTTTCACTACAGACAGAATAACCTCCAAGGCTATTTGACTGAATAAATAGGGCAGCAGACGATTTAAGATTCAAAGTACTATCTGAATCTTTCTACACCTCTAATTTCTGCAGCAGACAGTTTGCAGGTCCACCATGATCAAACATCCTCCTCAGACTCCGTGAGGCGCTTCCCTTCAGTGACACCACCATCATCCCCATCCATGTCGTCCATCTCTTCCTCCACCGCATTCATCTCCTGCTCCACCAGCCGCGAATACATGGCATGCAGCTTGCGGCTCTTGAGCCACGTCATCAGCGCCATCACGCCAAACACCACGATCATCACGCCTGACACCGCAAACACCACAATGTACTGCCAGCTCAGCTTATCCGAAGGCACGTACTTGATCTTGTACGTGCACTCGCCAGCGACCTCATCGGCCGGCAGTTGAACGGAGCCGGGGAGCGACTCATTGCAGAGCATGGGCTGGTGCCACATGTACGTGACGTTGTGCTTGCCATCGTCATCGGCGCACTCGCCCTCGAATCGGTCGTAGTCATCGGCTGTGCACGGCTCACACATCACATCGTCCGGCAGGGGGGTCATGGGGTTCGGCTGACACACCTGGGAGAGCCACGTGGGCGCAAAGAGAGAGAGCAGACACTATGGCGGATTAGGGCAGGGGTAAGTGGCATATGTGCGGACAGGATAAGGACCTGAGCAGCCATAGTTGTTCCAGGTGACTGTACTCACCCGGGAGTGCTTGAACTCACCCGGGGGTGCTTGAACTCACCCGGGGGTGCTTGTACTCACTCACCCGGGGGTGCTTGAACTCACCCGGGGGTGCTTGTACTCACCCGGGGGTGCTTGTACTCACCCGGGGGTGCTTGTACTCACCCGGGGGTGCTTGTACTCACCCGGGGGTGCTTGTACTCACCCGGGGGTGCTTGTACTTGTACGTGACGCGCTTGTTCTCGTTGCACCCAGCGGCCTCCACCTTGACAATGTCTTGCTCGGAGCACAGCGGGCAGGCAAAGAGCGAGTACCAGACGAGGTTGAACTCGCACGCCGTGGCCTCCACGGCCTCCACCGTTCCCCCCCGCTGCGCCCACTCGGGGTACTCCCGGTGTGGGTCAAGTGCAGCCATGCGCCCCCCACTCGTCCACTGCTCCGGCTGCCCGTGCCCTGCAGCAACAGGCAAGGGGTGCAAGAGGACAAGACAAGAGGGCGGGAGGGACTTCGGGAATTCAGGCGTCGGAGGCAAGGGACAAAGAAGCTGCGAGTAACAAGGGAGGGAAAGAGGAAGGGGGGGAAGATGGGGGAGGTGAGAAGAGCGACGGGATGCAGCGCTTGGAGTCACGAGTCCAGCGGCAGGGTGAGAGAGTATGGCGCGCGGGGGAGTTACCAGCAGCGGGGGAGTTACCAGCAGTGGGGGAGTTACCAGCAGTGGGGGAGTTACCAGCAGCGGGGTCGCAGATGAAGGTGATGTTGGTCTGGCGGGGCAGCTGGGTCTCAGGGCAGTCGTCCCCCTTGAGCATCATCACGAACCCACGCGTGCGCAGCTCACTCGCCACCACGTCCAGCGACTCTATCGCCAGTGACGCCCCCAGGTTGTGCCCCGGCCGCAGCCGCCCCTCCACATCCTCGGCCGGGTCCACCTTGCACGCGTACGTGTTGAGTGCGTTGCCGCCGTAGTCATAGCACGTGTCGTTGGTGCGGTCGCGGTCACACATGCTGAGGAAGTAGGACGGCTGCTGGGTGCCGTTCTTGGTGGTTGCATCGTTGGATGCCACCCCAAACATCACCCCCGGATGCATCCGTGCCAGCGGGGACAGGTCGAAGAACAGCCGCCCGCCGCCCGCAGTGGCGCCCGTCAGCCCACCGCCCGCCACCACCATGCCGCCGCCCTCCGCCAGCGTCTCGTTCCAAAACTGCTCCTCCTGCTGCATCTCGCCCGTGGGGCCGGTGGGGGCGGGCGCGGCGGGGGAGGCGAAGGGGTTGAAGGAGGAGGCGGGGGGAGGTGGGGCGGCAGAGGAGGCGTTGTAGGCGACGGGGACGCGCACGGCAAAGGTGCAAAAGGAGGAGGGCACTCGTGCATCGCCCAGGAAGCACTCGCTGCTGCCCGGCAGTGACGTGGTGCCCGCGCCACACCGCTCACACGCCCATTGCGCTCCCTGCCATACCATGCCATAACATGCCATAACATGCCATAACATGCCATAACATGCCATGTCATGACACAGCAGCAGAGAAAACAGGGGGGAGTAGCATGGTGGAGGTGAGTTTAGTGGGCATCTGGCAGACAGCACTGTGGATTGCCTGAGTACCAGAAAATGAGACATGGCAGCATTCACATACTCCCCTGAACCCATCCCCGTGCGCCCATCCCCATGCGTCCATCCCCAACCACACATTCGCAAGCACACACCACCATGCGCCCAAGAAGCGGTCCATGAGCAGAGGGTGCGAGCAGAGGAATGAGCGGGGCACCTCGGGGAAGGGGTTGAAGGTGTTGGCGGGGCAGGGCGTGCAGTGGCCCTCGCCGCCCTCACTGAACGTGCCGGGAGGGCAAGGAGTCCACGTCTGCCCATCCGCACTGATCTGCATCCCCGGCGGCACCCTCCTGCACCGCTCTGCACCGCCCCGCGCCACACCCTCCACCTGAGAGGGAGGAAGGGCGACATGTGGTTTGGGGAAGCGAGATGTGCACTGCGTTGCGACCGGGGGATGCGCGCGCGCAGACGGGAGGGCGCGCACTGTTGCGACGTGTGGTGGCAGTGTGCAGGTGAGAGTGGGGTCACAGTTCACTGACCTCCAGGTCATAAATGATAGCGGAGTCACGAGTCTTGCGCGTCGCAGCACGCTCATCGTTGAGCTTCTCCCACACCCACATGAGCGTGTGGTTACCAGGTGCCAGCTCCCACATGCCACTGATGGCCGTCTCGTTCTCCCCCCCCGCCTTGCGCTCCTGCCCTGGAGTCCCCTCCCACTCCTCGCGTTGTTGCTGCTCGCAGCACCAGCAGCAGCAGCAGCAGCAGCAGCAGCAGCAGCAGCCCCATGGAGAGTTGCCAAGGGGGTGGGAGGGAAAGCGGGAAAGAGGCAGGTAGAGAGGGAGAACGAAGTGTGAGACGAGATGCTCGTACTGGTTCGTGCTTCACGGAACACGTCAATGAAAACCATTGTCAACTTACCTCGACGAAGTCCATGAGGTCATGGTCGACAAAGAAGAAGAAGCCACGGCCGGGGTCACCGGGAGCGATGTCCACCGAGTAGTTGAACATGACGTACCCCGTCACCGCCACGTCGACGTCCAGCGCCAACCAGATCTGCAACAAGGGAACAGACGACCGGAAGGGGCGGGTGGCGGAGGGGTGAGGGCGGAAAAGGGCAAGTAGTTGAACATGACGTACCCCGTCACTGCCACGTCCATGTCCAGCGCCAGCCAGATCTGCACAGCCAGCACCAGGGGGACGGAGGACGGGAAGGGGCGGTGGGGGAGGGGTAAGGGGGAAACGGCGAGTAGTTGAACGTACCCTGTCAGCGCCAGCCAGACATCCATGTCATGTCATGCACCAGTGGAACAAGAGTGGGCAGAGGGCGGCAACGGGCGAGGGGGGATCGGACTAGGAGGGAAGGGGCGCAGATTAAAGGAGAGGTGAAGGGCGAAGAGTAGGTATGGACGAAGGGATGAAGGGACAGTGGCAGTAAGGGATCACGGCACTCACGGTAGCGGTCTTGCCATGGCCACTGCCAGACTCAAGGTAGTTGTGCACAGCGCGCCAGCCGAAGGTGCCGCAGTCGCCGTGGCAGCCGGTGCGGAAGCCATCGGGCAGGCGGCCCTGGTCCATGTGGAAGTGGCGCAGTGCCAGCATCTTCATCGCCACCTCCCCCGCATCGCACGGCCGGCATATCTCGTCTGTTATGTTCCCGCTGCCGCTGCCGCTGCCGCTGCCAGTCGCCCCACCTGCTGCTGGAGTGCCCTCTGCCGCACCGCCCTCTGTGCCAGTGCTGCTGCCGGGTGCTGGTGCTGCAGTGTTCTGTTCGGTGGCGTCCCTGGCGGTGCCATTGGGGCACCAGTCGCACTGCACCACGCCCGTCTCCGGCACTGGTACCGCCTGCTGCCCACTCGGACAGTGCTCTGCTCGCTCACACAGGGGCGAGGGGAGGACGGGGGAGGGGGGGAAGGAACGGTAGGTAGGGAGATTTCGTGATGCATGGGATGGGAGAGAGGGCGCGAGGGCAGGGATGCAGGTCAGGCAGGGAGGAAAGAGATGGTGCTCCAGGCAGTGGTGGTCAGAGGGTGATGGCCGGGTGGGTGGAGGGTGGGAGGAGAAGGGGGTGAAGGGCAGCGGAAGAGAAGCATAGGGAGTAGGCGCAGGCACATAGCAGGGG